CAGATACAGAGTTCAAAACAATGGTTACAGGGATGCTCAAGGAACTTAATGAGAATGTCAACAAAGAGATAGCAAGCATCAAAAAGGACATAGAAACCATAAAAAGAACCAGTCAGAAGTGAAGAATGCAATAACTGAAAAGGAGAATGCGCCAGAAGGAATCACCAGCAGAGTAGATGAAGCAGAGGATCAAATCAGCAATTTGGAAGACAGGTAGCATAACACACCCAATCGGAACAGCAAAAAGAAAAAGGAATCTAAAAAAATGAGGATAGTTTAAGAGACCTCTGGGGCAACATGAAGCGTAACAACATTTGCATCATAGGGTACCAGAAGGAGAAGAGAGAAAGCAAGGCATTGAGAACCTATTTGAAAAAATAATGACTGAAAACTTTCCTAACCTGATGAAGGAAATAGACATACAAGTCCAGGAAGCGCAGAGACCCAAACAAGATGAACCCAAATAGACCCACACCAAGAGGTCAGCTGATTTCTCAACAGAAACCTTGCAGGCCAGAAGGGATTGGCATGCAATATTCTAAGAGATGAAAAGCAGGGATCTATTGATACAACCAAGATTACTCTACCCAGCAAGGCTATCATTTAGAATCAAAAGAGAGATAAAGAGCTTCCCAGACAAGAAAAAGTGAAAGGAATTCATCACTACCAAACCAGTATTACAAGAAATGTTAAAGGGACTTCTTTAAGAAGAAGAAAATCTAAAAATCAAAAATATGAATAATAAAATGGCAATAACTACATATCTATCAATTACTTTAACTGTAAATAAATTAAATGCTCCAATCAAAAGACATAGGATGGCTGAATAGATAAAAAAAACATGACCCTTACATCTGCTACCTATAAGATACTCACCTCAGATCAAAAGACACACACAGGCTGAAAGTAAAGGGATGGGAAAAGGTATTTCATGCAAATGGAAACAAAAAAAAGCTAGAGTAGTAATACTTATATCAGACAAAATAGGCTTTAAAACAAAAGCTATAACAAGAGTCAAAGAAGGACCCAGGAATCCCACCTCTGGGTATTTATCAGAAGAAACCCAAAACACTAATTTGAAAAGACATATGTATCCCTATGTTTATTGCAGTATTGTTTACAATAGCCAAGGTATGGAAGCAACCTAAGTGTCCATTGATAGATGAATGGATAAAGAAGAGGTGGTACATATGTACAATGGAATATTAGCCAAAAGAAAGAATAAAATTTTACCATTTGTGACAACATGGATGGACCTAAAGGGTATTATGCTAAGTGAAGTAAGTCAGGCAGAGAAGGACAAGTACCATATAATTTCACTTATATGTGGAATCTAAAAAACAAACCAACAAACAAAACAGAAATAAACTCAGAGATACAAAGAGTAAATTGATGGTTGCCAGATGGGAGGGGGGTTGGGAAGATGGATGAAAACTGTGAAGGGATTGAGAAGTATAAATTGGTAGTTACAAAATACTCACGCAGATGTAAGATGTAGCATAAGGAATATGGTCAATAATATTGTAATAACTATGTATGGTGTCAGGTGGGTACTAGATTTATTGAGGGAATCACTTCGTGAGGTATATAAGCGTCTAATCACTATGTTGTACACCTGAAACTAATATAATATTGTATGTTAACTGTAATTGAAAAATAAAAAAATATTTTCAAAAAAGATTTATTGGAACACACACACACACAGAAAAAAGACCACGGAGAGATTAATAAAATACAACAAGAGCAAGTTCCGTGCATGACTGAACTAGGAAGCTAGAAGGGCAACCCCAGGTGTGAAAGCCAGAGCAGCGATGGGTGTGTGGGTTCAGCAGGTGACTGCAGACTCGGAACTTGCATTTTAAACGCCCATGCAGGGATGGAAGACCAGCCCCAAGGCGACAGCTAGGAAGAACATTTAAACAATCCAAATATTCTCGCACACATACACAAAAAAAAAAGGAGAGGAAAAATTGTCATATTAACTTACAAAACACACAAGCAGACAATATACCATGAGCTAGCAAACGTAACAAGCAAGGTAGAATTACAAGGAGAAATTAGCAAATCCACAATCATCACTCCCTGATCCCTTCCTGTGACAGACTCCCTGAAGTCCATGCTGGGAGTAGAGCCATGGAGATAAATCAGGGGGCACCCATGGCTCAGAGGTGAGGAGTCAGGGAGGGAAGCATACAGACAGCCCTTGAGAAGAGTTAGCATTGGGAAGGGTTGACCTGAGTGAGACATTAATGGAGCCGCTATGATGAAGCAGAGACTTCATTGCTGCCTTGAGTCGAGGAGCAGCCAGGCAGGAGGAGGGGACCAGAGAGAGACCTGAAGAAGAAATAGGTGGCAAGGAAACACCAGAAGGCAGAACCAGTTGAGGCTGTGGCTCCTGACTCAGCCTTGGGTGCCTGGGTGATCTTGTGGAGCCCTGAACTGGCACACTCAGTAAGCAGAGCTCTGGGGCAAGAGCCAGGCAAAGAAAAAGCCAAAAGTTCTAACCCACAGAAACCATCTGGTTTTATTCCCTCTAGAAAACAAACTAGTGTATTTTAAAAATACACTTTATGTTTACAACCATTTTAAATGTACAGAACAATGGCGAAGATAGTACGGAGAGTTCCAGTAAAGCCCGCCTCCAGTTTCCCCTATAACTTCTTACATTATTATGGTACATTTGCTGCAACTGATGAGCTAGGTGGGGTGCCACACCTCCACACTCTGGGGGAGTCTGAGAGGAGAAGGCACGGAAGCTCTGGTGGGAGCAGGAGGAAGACTCTTAGGCCCCCAGTGAGCTGGGGGAGCGGGAGATGGGAGGCTCGGTGGACGAGGTCTCAGAGATCCCTCATATCAGGGCCCCACTTTCTTGCAGGCTGCAGGACTAGGCCTCAGGAGCTCCCCCACCCACATCCCTGCCTCCACTTGCCAGATTCCTTCTCATCTATCCCTGCCAGGCCTGCTCAGCAGCTCCAAGCAGCCCTCATAAATCAGTCCCTCCTGCCCTTTTATATGCTCATGGTGCACAGCCATCTATTGGCAGCCTGTTCGGTCTGCAGAGTCTGGAATAAAATCTGCCTTCCAGGCACTGGGATCTTGGAGAGAAACCCCCAATACAGGTGCAGTCAGCACCCAGCAAGATTTCACTTTGTTCTGCCCCATGGGGTCCTTCTGTCCAGGCCCTTCCTTTCCTTTCCAGCCTTTCTCCTCCTTGATTACTGGTAGGCCTATTTGCATGTCCCACTGCAGAGAGCTGCATACCTCTTCCCAGGGTCAATCCCCTGGAGTGATTGTCCAGGGGGATTTCTGGCAGTTCCCAAGCCTCTGAGTGTCCCAATTGTCCCCAGATCTAAGGGTGGGGCAGCTGCTGAGGACATCCCCCAGGCTTAAGGAGGCTGCGCTGGTGTGGCCACCCTTTCCTTGTGTTCATGTGGGACCTTGTAACACTGTGAGGCTGGTTGAGCAAGTGTTATTACTGATTTAGAACACAGGAGAGAGAGGCTCAGGGGTTAAACACCTTAACCCAAGTCCCGTGGTTATGCTTTAGTGGTCCCTTAGAGCATTTGCAACCTTGTATTTTATTTGTGTTATTACTTGAATTGTCTTTCCCTCCAAATAGGACAGCTTTGCCCACCACTCTATCCGCAGTGCCTTGCCCCGTGACTGGTACACACATGCTCCATAAATGTTTTAAAATTATTGAATGAATGGATGAGTTAGAGGAAGAAGGTTCATTCATTTATTTATTCAACAATGGATTCAGTGTCAGGCCCTTTGATGGGTCTTAGGGATGAAAAAGTGAATAAGATGTAACCCCTACCCTTGAAGAAACCAGTCTTGTGGGGAAGATAGACTTGTAAATAAAAATTACAACATAATGTATAAAACGCTATAATGGAGGAATGTCCGTCCCAGGTGCTATGAAAAAACAGATTCTAAGCTCTTCCTGGAGGAGGGGCCTTGAAGGATGAGTGGCAGGGTATTTCCTGCAGTGTTGGGGGTAGGCCGAGTGAGGGAAGGGCATTTCTACCCCAGCGGGTGACAGTGAGTCTCCTGGGGGCCTGACACTCAGGGAAGGCTTGGAGGAGCCCCAAGTGGGCCAGACTTGAAGCCAGGCTCTTGGATTTTTCCCTTCACCACATAAAAGTCAGAAATTTCCCACCTGTGCCCCCCAGCCTCTAGGTCTGGGAGGATTCTACCCGTGCCAACCACCTGTCATTCTCCTTCAATGACAGATTGCCAGAAAAACCTCTTCCATGAGAGAGTTCAACATCTGAGCCAATCTGAAACAATCTTATGAGATTTCTTGAGCCAACAGCTCAAATATAACCTCTCTATTCTGCTCCCTGCACTCCCTCATCTGTAATTCCATCCAACACATCGTCAAGCCGGTGGGCCCAGCGGTCTGCAGGCAATCTCACGTAGTCTTCCCCCCACAGTTTCTCCTGTTTATTCCCTTCTCTTCAACAGAGGTTTAGCAGATGTTTGTCTTTTAGTTCCCGATGCCATGACCGTTTCCATTTGTTGTTGTGTAATCTAATGTTGTGATGTAAGAGATCCGAGTACATGTCTGTGTACACAAAAAGAAGGGAGTCACTCGTCTTGGGGGCCGAGGTAAGGCTGCGGGCTTTACCTGAGGTGTGAACAAGACAAGGTTGTTTGTAAGGAAGCACTGAGGGAAAGGTCAGTGCCATCTAGCGTGGGGGAAGCAGGAAGGGGTCACGGGCAATAACTTAGGGTCTCAATGGCTGGAATATTTTAGTTGTGCCTGCAATGGAGGAGGGTCCCACATCGTAGTGATAATGTCATTGAAAAAGTGACAATGTCAGCTCAGTGGAGAAAGGCCGGCCACAGTGCTCCTACAGTTGGAGTAATTTTAAAAGAAGAATCTAGTAATTTTGACCTAAAAATGTCTTCATGGATTTGCTTTTTATGTTACCCGTACACACATACACACGCATTCTCCTCACTCATGGAGGACTCCTGGATTCCTCCCCTGCTGTTTTTACATCAATTTTATTCTTACTTATATCTTTACAGAAAATGGCACAGAAGTCACAGGTTTAGAATACCTAGAAGTTATTACAGTTCCATATTTCAAACACCTCAATATCAAGATTCTTTCTTCTCACTCTATGTACATTATTTACACACGAGGGGCTACAGTCTAACACTTCAAACCAACAGGGGACAAAGACAAGAAGAACTGGGGGAAAGTTCCATGAATGGAATAAAGAAGAAATCAACTTTTGATGTGGAATTAAAATCCCAACTCATTGTCTCAGGCCTTTCTCTCTTGAGATATTCCCTGCAAAGGAGGTGGGATGGTAAAGAATGTCATGGGAGTGAGGGGGATATGTCCCTGGCCTGGGGGTGGAGGGGCAGCTCTGGAGAGGCCATCAGTATGGACAGGTCCTCTCATCAGCAGCCAGGAAGAAGCCCCCAGCCCCCTATTCCAACACGGTCACTGTCTCTGTCTTATTCATAGTGAACATGTACACAGCATACACCCAGCTTGAAGGTGTGAGTGCCTGTTGCTTAGTTTGGGTCTAACACTTACTCTCCTTTGAGCCTTTTCTCATTCCCTTCTTGTGACCATATGATGACTACATATAGCCCCAGGCCGACTCCAGGCTTGGCCTCCCAAGGACAGCCTGGGTGAAGTTGAGTCAAGGTCTGTGGCTTCCTAGGTGTTCATTTAACAGCTTGGATTGGGTTGCTCCAAGGCAGGGCACATGCAAAGCAATAATTTGCTAGAAGCTCTAGGTGAAGAGTGCCTTGCATAGCAAGTCAGGGTTCCAGGCAGCGTTTCAGGGGAGTCAGGATGCTTCAGAACACAGCCCCAAGGGCACGGAGCAGAGGGCTTGGATTCCCAATAGTGCAGAGAGACACAGCATTTGTGAGAGGTGCCCCCTGGCTGCAGAGCACAGACCCTGGAGTCACTACAGGTATTGTACATCGTCACATGCAGTACTGGCACCTGTGCTGGGAGGAATGATGGGCCCGGCTGAGTGTGGAAAGGGTTAGGGTTCCTGAGGGTGACCATGGAGAACGTGAGACGGAGGGTGGCCAAGTGGCCCAGGCTGAGACTTCCCAAATTTAACCAGTACTCTGGGCCCCATTGATGGGGTAGAGCAGAGGTTGTACCTAGGCCTACAGGGCAGTACATTCACATGGCAGAAGCCTATGCCCAGACCCAAGGGAAGGAACAGGCAGAGGGGAGCAGAATTTGGCCAAGGACTGGAGCGCTCAGGTCATCGGCTCTGGAGTGTGGGTCCTCAATCCCTGACAGGGCTGTGAGCCTGGGGGGAACAGAACTCCCCCTGGGGTTAGAGCTGGGAGGGAGGGCTCTTAGAGCAAGAGAACAGAGTGAGGAGTGGATTTGGACAGTGAGAGTTGCCAAGGGATTGAGTGAGCATGGCTGGAAGGGGTGGTTTGGGGTAGCAAGAAGGTTTCTGAGGCAGGGCTGTTGAGATGACGAGGCTGCTAAAGAGGTCAAGACTAGCTAGCTAGGGGATATCTCAGCATGGCCCAAAGCCTTGGCCAGAAGTGAGTTGTGCCTGAAGTCACCCGGGGGGTCATGGAGGGCCTGTGGGGCAGCGGGAGGGTAGCAAAGGCCAGGCTGGGCCCTGCCTCAGAGAACACCTCCCAGCACCACAGGCCTGGAGAAGCGCAGAGTCCTGGGGCTCCACGGGCAGCGCGCCCTTGACCTAAGCCATGTCCTCAAGCTGCGGCGGACTCAGCTTCTCCGCTGGCCTGTCTTCGTCCATGGCCTCCTCCTCCTCTGGCTCCTGGACATTCCGGGCCAGGCTGTTGGGTCCAGACACAGTCCCCAGCACTTTGGTGCTGTGCTCCTGAGCTCTGGCTCGGAGCGCTGCAATGCTGTTCTCCCTCAGTTCCTCCTGGGACATGGCCGCCGGAGGGTCGGGGCCCCGCTCCTCCTGCTCCATCTTGTCCAGTTTGGGCAGGGCCTGCTGTTCCGCCTCGGGCTTCCTCCCCGACTCCGCTGCTGCCTCCAGCGATTTTTTGTGCATCCCTAAAAAGAATTGTTGGTATTCGGGTTTAGAAAAGCGCCTGGGAAAGCCATCTTGAACTGAAAACAGCAAAGATAGAGAGAGGCCAGAATTAAGGACAAGCAGAAAGCCTTGCTTCACACACCGCAGTCACGCGAGTCCCGGGGTTGGGGCCAGGGCAGCAGGAGGTGGGCGGGTGGGGGGCTGCAGATGAGCCAATGGGCACCAGGCCTGCAGAGGGCTTCTCCAAGCCAAGCCCCTGGTCACCTGACCCCCAGATAGTCTGTTCTGTCCCATCCCTCCCTCCTGGGATCCCAGGTCACAGAATCCCAAAGATAGGCTGGTGCTACTATCAGACATAGGCCCAGGTGGCAGGTACGGGAAGATAGCAGGTGGAGAGATTTAGGGGGAAGAAGTCCTTTGGGCAAAGCCAGATGGTGGCCAAAGGGACCTAGGGGTTCCCTCAACCACCAAGAGAGGCAGTTTCGTTTATCACAAGACCAACTCCCACAAGGGAAAAGGGGCTGCTAGGCTGCTGTGGCCAGGTCCCTTTGCTCCAGTGCTCTGTCTCCTCCTTAGGGGAGCCCACTCTCCTTGCCACAGGGGCAGGGCCCCAAGGAGGGTGCGGGCTCTTACCCAGCAGCCATGGGGCACAGGAGTCCATGATGCCATCCTTGGCAGACTTGAGGATGGACTCAGGCAGGGGGATGGAGTGCCGCACCATGGCCCCATACAGCCCATACTCCGCCATGACGCTGCTCCGGCCCCAGCACTTCTCTCGCTTCCTCCACTTGGCTCTGCGGTTCTGGAACCAGACCTGCAAGTATAGACAAACAGGTGTGTTCTGAGAGGCCCCTACCCCAGCGTCTCTCTGTTAAGGTCCTCACCCCTTCCATGGCCAGCAGCCCCATCTCCTTGTGGTTTGCCAGTTTCTCCGTTCAGGTGTCTTTTCTTAAGCTCACCTACCCTGCAGTACTGCAGGGGGTTCCTCTAGGCTCAGGGATATCCAGAATGAGGACACAAGTCTTATGAGAACACAGTGGGTGAAATGGGTCCTTTTTTTCTTTTTCTTTTTTTTAAACCAAAGCAGTTACAGGGAGATGGAATAGGGACGCCTCTGGGACAGGGTCTTGTAAGTGGGCACTTCCCAATGTGGTCCTTCGTTTGCAGCTGAGAAGCAAACCCTGATAGCTGTCTTGCAAGTGTGCACAGCTCCAGTGTATAAACAGAATCTCTTTTCTGACTTGCAGAGGGATAAATTCCTTCTGAGGGGCTGGGCTAGCAGTGTTCAGGGCTCCCTGTCCACCAGAACTCTAGAGCCCAGAGCAGTCCCAGGAAGACCTCCAGGTGAGTGTAGATGCAGGGAGCAGAGGGCATGTCACCCAGGTATCATGAAACTTAGGAACTGCCCCGGCCCCAAAGCACAGTTGCGAATGCTCCCAGGCCTGAGTCAGCTCCCTTGTCTGCCCTGTCCTGGCTGAGCCCTGCCACGCCACAGTGCCCCCCTCCACCTGCTCGCCACAGTTCTGGACCTAACACTGAATGATATTTGGGAGAAGCTGGGCAGCCATCCCTTAGTCAGGGGAGGAAGACAAACTTCTCAGTGATGTGAGGAGCAAATGGGAGTGGGGACCTAGGAAAGTGTAGTGGGGAGCACTCTAGGGAATGTTTCTGTGGCCCCCAAACTGACTGGTGCAGGGTCTGAATGAGTGGGGTGCCCTGGGGGTGTCTGGAGCACTCAGTCCCTGCGTGGAGGAGATCCCAGGTTCCTGCCATGCTTGGGGGAGGGAAGATTTCTTGGTCTCCCAAAGCAGCTTCCTGAGACTTGCAGCAGCTGACAGGAGTCAGAGCTAGAACCAGGGACAGCTGTACTGTTTGTCCCTCGAGCAGGTGAGAGGCCCGTGGTTAACTGGTGGGCACTGGAAGGACTCCTCTGGTCCCCTCACAGCCCCTGGGGGCCCTGACCTCCTAGGGCGGGAAGAGGCACAAGGCCCCCAGGAAGTGAGGGTGGGAGGGAATAAGGGGTGGGCAGAGGCGGATTCGGGAAAATCTATTAGTTTCCTCAATGATTTCCATTCCTTCGCCTCCACAGGGCGCCCCCCNCCACCCTTCCCTCCGGGCCCTCGCCCCCGCCCTCGGCAGCGGAGGTTTCAGCTTTTGATGAAAAATTGCTCCAGCTCTATTCAGGAGGCGGCAAAAGAAGAGTCACCCCCAGGGGCAGCCCTGGGCTGATTGAAAAATAAGTTAATTTCAGTTTGAATCGATGGGCCTCAGGCACTGAAATATCACGGGAAATTAAAGCGGCTGCTCTCCCGGGAGCCGTGGCATTGACCCGCACTAATTAATGCTGGGGAGGCAGCTCGAGCTGCGCCTTGAGCAGCTCCCCCTCCCCGGGGGACCCCAAACACTTCTCATTTAACTAATTAGAAGGGGAAAATTGGGTGTTAATTTGTTTAGGATTTTTTTCCCCTCTTACCCCTGCAGCTCTCTCCCCAAGCCCCCGCCCTGCGCGGGGGCGCAGGAAATGAATGCGGGGCCCACCGGCAGATGGCTGCCCGGGTCACTCTGCAATCTTCTCCGACTTGATTGCTTGATTAGGTCGTTAGCACATTAAAAAAAAAAATTGCTTGCCGTCTGGCGCTGGCGTGATGAGTGGGACGCGCGGCAGCGCCTGGGTAATTTATCTTTTTATACGGCAAAGAATTTGATTTCAATCTGCAGATATATGGAGCGCCTTTGACACCTGTTTAACATCGCGCCGCTGACAGCTTAACCCTTCGCTGCCTCCACCGCCGGGAGACTCATGCTGGGGCCGGCGGGGCTCTGAATCCGCGCGTCCCCGTGGTTCCAGCCGCTGCCACCAGGTGGCGGAGTGAGAGTGCCCCGGTGGCCCGCGGCAGCCCCGAGTCAGCTGCTAAGCGCAGACGGCTGCATCCGGCAGGGGGAGCCCCAGCCACTCCGCCTCGCATCCCCACCACTCTAAACATCTCGGCGTTCACAGACACGTTGTGAGGGACTGCGTCAAGACCGCACAACTTTAAGTTGACCTAAATGTGTGTAACCCTATTTTGGCACTTCTTCGTTTGTAAATAACCAGAACCTCTAAAAATGGGAGAGACGTAGCCTCAGACACCCCTGATCTCCATCTTGACACTGGCCAGCTGGCCCCACTCTGTGTGAAACACACCTTTGCTACCACCGGGTTTGGCACCTGCCGTTCCTGCTCAGGTCCTCCTGTGGGAGCTGGGAAGCCAATGCGCAAGGCCTCCCTTGAGTCCAGACCCAGACTGCCCTGAGTGAGCCCTGCCCAGGAAAGGGTTTCTGTAATTTGAAGGCCACTAGATGGCTGTGCTCCATGCACTAAAGCGCAGTGAGAAATGCAAGCAGGGGCTAACTTGGCCACGGTCCTGGCCTGGCTCTACGCTGTGTTTAAATCTCTCCTCAGGGCCGCCTGCCTGTCCAGCAGGGTCTCTGTCTGACTACCTGCCCTACCCAGGGCCTGCGGTTTGTCTGAGACCTCTGTCCTGCCCCATCTTCCTTCTCCTTATCATTTGGTCACCCTCTCCAAGTATCCAGTTGTCTCACGCTGCCTTCTCCCACAGAGGTAAAATCTAAAAGGATTAATCCACATACTGATGTTAAGTAAGTGACTTCTGGTTTCACCGACCTCTCAGAGAAGACAGCAAAGAGTGAACCCCTCCACGATGGAATTCCAGGCACCAAGTCTGACCACAGAGGGCTGGGAAGGCCCTCTCTATGAATCTAAGTAAACCACCTGCTTCCTGGTCAGGAGGTGACCTTCCTGCTTGAACACAGTAGATTATAAAACAANGTTTGTAAATAACCAGAACCTCTAAAAATGGGAGAGACGTAGCCTCAGACACCCCTGATCTCCATCTTGACACTGGCCAGCTGGCCCCACTCTGTGTGAAACACACCTTTGCTACCACCGGGTTTGGCACCTGCCGTTCCTGCTCAGGTCCTCCTGTGGGAGCTGGGAAGCCAATGCGCAAGGCCTCCCTTGAGTCCAGACCCAGACTGCCCTGAGTGAGCCCTGCCCAGGAAAGGGTTTCTGTAATTTGAAGGCCACTAGATGGCTGTGCTCCATGCACTAAAGCGCAGTGAGAAATGCAAGCAGGGGCTAACTTGGCCACGGTCCTGGCCTGGCTCTACGCTGTGTTTAAATCTCTCCTCAGGGCCGCCTGCCTGTCCAGCAGGGTCTCTGTCTGACTACCTGCCCTACCCAGGGCCTGCGGTTTGTCTGAGACCTCTGTCCTGCCCCATCTTCCTTCTCCTTATCATTTGGTCACCCTCTCCAAGTATCCAGTTGTCTCACGCTGCCTTCTCCCACAGAGGTAAAATCTAAAAGGATTAATCCACATACTGATGTTAAGTAAGTGACTTCTGGTTTCACCGACCTCTCAGAGAAGACAGCAAAGAGTGAACCCCTCCACGATGGAATTCCAGGCACCAAGTCTGACCACAGAGGGCTGGGAAGGCCCTCTCTATGAATCTAAGTAAACCACCTGCTTCCTGGTCAGGAGGTGACCTTCCTGCTTGAACACAGTAGATTATAAAACAAGGCCGCAAACCCTTAAACAGAACCTGTGGGATCTGACTCCAGAATGTTTTGGGTGTTAAAAAGAATAGGTGATGCATATACCACATGTCACGTAACATCTTGCAGCAGTCGCACACTGTAATCAAAACTACCCATTTTGATTTCTTCAGCAAAACCCATACATATTCACACTAAGTGGGATAAATAAAGAGCATAAAGTCTGATCCGGTTTTTGTCACTAATGAGTTCTGATGACAAAGTTATGACAGAACTGTCCATTTTCAGCACAGTTTGGCTTTAGGGATTCTGGAGAAGGGACTGTATAAAAAGGCAGAGATTCTACTCCTTCTCCTCCCCACCCGTCTGGCTGCCCGGGAAGGCGCATTGCTCTGGCTTCTGCAGGATTCCATGAGCCTTGGTGTTAGCCATGGGGGTCAGGGCTCTCAAGTGGAAAAAGCTTCATTATTGGAACACTAAAGTAAGGAGTGCAGAGTTGGGATTCAGACCATATCTGGGGCCTGTAAACAGAACCGTTTTTCCTGGGTCTCCTAATTTGGGCAAATGAATAACTGGTCTGCAGATCAGACTTTGCCCACAGACACTCCCAGGGGAGTAGGTGGCAGCTGGTTGCTCAAACCAGGAGTCATCCGGACACTCGGTTATGGGCTCCTGGAATGCCTGGCTCTCTGCAAAGAGCAGATGCTGCTCCAATTTATGGAGGAAACCTGGACAGCCAAAACAATTTCTTTTTAGGACAGTTGGCAGGGAAGCTGTGGCAATGGTGCCTTGGAGGGAAGTGGACAAGGGGATTAGAATTAACCCTAACCACTCTTCATATTTGTCTTTCTCTTTCCTGCCTAGAAACAACCAGTATGTGTAACAGAACTTAAAAGTGTACAAGAAACACTGAAGTCAGCCAGTCCTGAACTGGAATGCCCAGCTCTGACAAAAATTGTGTGATCTTGGGCAAGTTACTTGCCTTCTCTCAGTCTCAGTCCCTTCAAACATAAAATAAAAATACCTACTTTTCAGGGTTGTTTTGAAGATTATGAAATAAATGAAAGTGCCTAAAAGCAGTGTTTGTCACTCAGAAGGTGCTCAATAAATGCTACTTATTATTTCAGTGAAACCACAGAAAATCAGTGGGGGAGTCTGCTCAGGGGACAGGTTAATCAGTGGCATTGCCTGCCCCTTTGGCCCCCTCCACATGCCCTTTAGCAAGGCTGGACTGACAAATAATAATAACTGTGGGGCTG